AACTGTGATAATTTCTGACTTTTATCTCTAATAGTTCCTGAAATATTGTCTTTCACACACAGCCTTAATTTTCGAAATGGGAAAGTTGGTTAATGGGCTATTTAACAAAAAAAAAAAGTCAGAAAGTTTTTGATATATCTATCTAATATTTCACAGTTATCTTTTATGACTATCCATATGTAGCTGAGTATTTTTTTATTTTATTTAATATTTTGCTATTTTATTTCAGTGAACCATCTCAAAACTTACTGTTATATTCTCCGTCCCAAAAAAAAGGCTATCTCTGTGCACTCTTAATGTGTTGATGACAGTTTTGTAAATAGTCAGTTCCACATAACCTGTTGTACCAAGGGGGGTGTTAATTAATGAGGCGCACTGAAGCACGTGCATGAGGAAGCTGCGCGTTCCCGGCAACAGGTGAGACGCGTAGTGATGCTCTCTCCTGTTGTTTCAAGCTAGCGGGTATAAAAGTTATAAACTCTGTCTATAAACGGCATAAAACCACAGCGCGGACTTATTATAAGTCTGTATAGGATTTTTGCAGTTGGTTTTGTTTGACAGAAGTGACGCTGAACTATGTTAAAGTCGTTGGAGAGTTCGCTTTATTTGCATGTTGGATCACTCGCTGAGACCCAGTTGTGGCCCCCGGGTGTGTGTGACGTGAGCTGGTCCTGATTCCTGCCTCCATGAGTACCAGAGTCCATCTTAAGTCTGCTACACGTATTTAATGCTATACAAATCGTAGGTAAATTCTAAACGGTCGAGGAGAACTGATGGTTTGACCTGGAATGACCCGTATGTTGTCACTTCGCTGTAAACTCTTCTGTCCCTTCCGGGTTCCTGTAGGAAGAACGACTCTGTGCTGTGATTGGTCAATCCGGGCTGTTTAAAGTTACCCGGCATGTTACTATGGTGACCTTTCCTGGTTAAAGATTTGCTAAGCTGCTAACGTTTACTACAAATAAAGACTTTGTTGGCTAACTCTGGACCTCAGGTGAGTCCGTTGCTCCTGCTCCGTGCACCTTTAGCTTCAACTGGTGGTTGCTAGCTCTCGCGGTGGCGCGCCTGCGTGCCCGCGCTCTTTATTACACAGGTGCGCTGGATGAGCTCATCGCACAGGTGGACGGAGCGCAGGTGAGGTCGGGACTCGTCGTCAATACCGAAAGCAACAGTAACGCTGAAGTTGTTTTATATTATTTATTATTTGTTGTTGTGACGATGCGGACGGATGTTTAAGTGTTTATCGGACAGGATTTTAAAGTTAAAATAATAAAATGTCGAACGCATCGTGCTCGTTTAGCAGCAAGCTATCGGACTGTTAGAGTCGATGTTAGGGCTGGAAATGTTCCAGAGACCGTTAATCCTGAACAAGAGGTCGTGTTGTTTTTAAGTAGACTATTAAATGTGTTTATTTTTCCATCTGCGGCAGGATGCTGTGACCACATGGACTCGACAGACATCACAGTCAGCATGGAGGAGTTTTTCAAAACGGTAAACTTGACACTGCTGCAGGACAGGTGTGTGTCATCACCTGTACAGGCCAGTGTGTGTAAGGCTCTGGATGTCTGCACCTTTAAAGGAGACACTGAACAAAACGGAAGTCAGAAAATGTTGTAATTGCAGCTGGAGGTCATTTTAATTTTTGATGCCAGAAACAGGGTCAGTACTGCTGCCACTAATAAAAGCTGTAAGAACGGATCTATTAGCTGATTAATGGCATTGAATGATTTGAAGGTAAAAGTCCTCTCACTTTAGCTTCTTAGACTTTATTTTTTTTTGTTGTTGTTTACTCTTCAGTTACAGTAAACTCAGTATGACGATAAGAAGTCATCTTGAGCTTTTGGAAATATTGATTGATTTTAAACCTTTTCATGATATTTTAACACAACTAATCGTTCAGTCAAGAAAATACTTGACAGATTAATAGACAAGCTCAGCCACAAATTCACAACATTAGTTAAGCAGAAATGTGTAAGTTACAAAGTTGTGTACTATTCGTGTGTTTTCCAACCAGTTCCCACCTCGGCTTAGCTGTAAGGTAGAGCTGTATACTTTAATGTTGTTGTTTCAGGGAGCCTAATGCTATCGTTTGTGTGTCTGTGAAGGTGGCGGAGGTGAGAGGCCTCATCGAAAAAATCTCCCGTCAAACAGAGGAGATGGAGAAACGACATGGTGCCATCCTGTCCTCTCCAAACCAAGGGGAAGGTGAATGCGGAACAAGTTCTTCACTGTTATGCTGATACTTTCAGACATCTGCCAACTCCTTCAGGGAATACAACACCGACAAAACAAACGGAGCAACAGAGACGAAAAAGGCTCAACAGCCGTTGGCAAGCGCACCTGTAGCTGTTTGTAGAGGGGACGTCGGATAATCCGCAGCAAGAAACCGCCTAAAAGTAGACTTAACCACATGTTAATGCAAAGTGGGACTAAAGACAGAGATGTAGCTACAACATCAGCACACACACCTCATCCTGCATAACAATAGCAATGTTACAGCCACAAGCCCACCAGTAAGGGAAAATAACATCTCCAGTTCAAGCTCTCTACTCACCACGCTGCTGAGAAATGTTGGATTTGAAATTCCACCTGAGAAAACAATCTGGTCCGACATCTTTTGAGACAGAATAATACAGAAGATATGAACCACTGTCAGGATACTAAACTTGTTAAATCTATAAATTACTGCAGCCTTTTTTTAGGTGAAATTCACCTTCAGTAATGTACGTCTTGATGAAATTCATCCCACATTAAGTTGAAATTATTCCTTCTATGACTTGTTTTGTTGTTCTCAGGAAACAAAGCTGAACTGGAGCAGCTGAACAACGAGACCAAGAAGAACGCCGGCTTGGTCCGAGCCAAGTTAAAATGTAGGTGCACGTCACTCGTTTCAATCCGTCGTATACAACAGATGCTAATTTGTCTGGTGCTGCGTGAACGGTTTTCCACTTTGCTATAATGATATTTGGTTGTCATTGTTTGAGACGTAAAGAGGAGACGTGCTGCACATCGGACTTCCTCTAATGCTGGTGCTGCTCAGGTCATAACACAGGATCTGACTTGCAAATGCACAGACAGGGAAGTGCAGCGTTCTTTACTCTAGTGCTGGTCGTCGTAAACAAATCATCCCACGCTAGCAGTGGGACGGACGCTCTGCTGTGATTGGTGGTTTGAGCCGGTTGGGAGTTGGTTGTTGGTGTAGACTGGGTTGGTCCTTCTGGCCAATCTAGTCTGACATCAGCTGTCTGAATAGCTAAACATGAGAGACGGGCTGTAACGTTCCTTAGCGGACTTTGTTTAAGGTTTTTAACTAGATCTTGTGTTTATATTTACATTAGATCTGTGTCTGTGTTTTCAGCGATGCACACAAACTGGCCTGCGGATAAGAACGGCCGACATTCCTCAGTCATCCAACGAATTAAGAGCAACCAGGTCAGCAAGTACTTTTATTAGATCTGATAAGCCAAGTGTATAATGGTGACCTCTGTAAGTTATCTCACAGAGGCCTTCAGCCTTCACACACCTGACAAAAACCGCTGCCTGCAATAATATTCTCATAGGATGGATGTGTGCATTGATTCATTTCAGTCAATAATCTGATTTCAAATTCTGCTGACTCTCCTCCGCCAGCACTCGCACCTGACTCGGTGGTTCGCTGAAGTCATGAGGGGTTACCACGAGGCGCAGATCTCCTTCAGAGAGAAATGCAAGGCACAAATCCAGAGGCAGCTGGAGATCGGTGAGTTGAAACCAAATGAAAGCAAAGTACGAGCATGTATTCCTCCACACACTGAGGTCGGTGTTGTGTAAACAGATTTCATTTCATGCAGCGGGGTCTTATCAGATCAGCTCCTGTGTTTTATGGAAGATGGAGTTTTAGGCCAACTCTTTATCAGCACCAAATGTTTCTGGAGTAACTGCACTGGAGTTAATCAGATAATATCACGCTGGGTGGCCATAACATTTCTTCTTCCTATATTCCACAAGTAGCTGCATTCGGTTTTAATGATCTATTTAAAATATTCTTTTCCCCACCAGGGTTTAAGGCTCTATGTTCTTTCTCACAGCATACCACGACACACACTTGTCTAATTTGATATAACAGCCAACATAATATTAGAACTGGTTTCCCTCTTGTTGCCTAAAGTCAAACTCTTCTACATTTAACACAGTGCAGGTCAATTTAAAGCTCCCATATCGTGGCCCTTTTCAGCAAATTAATGAAAGGCTTTCAACTCAAAACACTGCAAAAAGATGATTAATTTCCTCATAACTGTGTAACTGTGGTTTCAGCATTAGTGGCTGTGAAAAACCCTGAGCTACTGCTGTCTGCTTCAGGAAGAAGACTCTCTCTGTGCCTGTGATTGACAGCATCGAACAAAAAAGTGTGAATAAATAATAGAGGTCTGTAGTGCAAAGTACGTTCAGCATAACCTGGGTGTCTTTATGATATCTTGCCTCATTAAATTTTATAACCACAGTCGAGACAAAGCTGGTTATCAACTCTACGAGCAGGTTCACATGAAAGAGGCCGAGCTGGCAACGGATGACCAAGTATGGAAATCTACTGGAGCCAAAATGGACGTACAGTCGTTAATCCGACACTAAATGTAAAACCTTCTTCTATGTCGGATATCAAGGCTGTCGGATTGTCAAGACGGAGGTCCAGATACGAGGAGGGCTTGATGCTGGAAGGCTCATTAGTTGTTCATTATTGTTCATAGTTGTTGTAATAACTAGTAGGACTGGTCCCAATAGAACTTCCTGGTCTCAGTTAAAGATGAATATCTGAATATTCGTCCTGGTCGGGGGACACTTCCACCCCGGGGCAGCGCTCTGACGGGGTGGAAGTGTCCAGAACACACAGGCAGTACTTGGCTGCTGATGCTAGTTTAGTTAGCGCTCACACTTCTGTTTCCTCCATCGGTGGCGGCGGGGGAGTGGCAGATACGCTCCACCGTTACCATCCATGTTTACTTCCATAAACACTGAGCACGCTCGCTGCGTGTGACGTCGTCGTGTCCTCTTCTGCGCATGCGGGACACTTTTGGCTCGTATGAAGTTCACACAGCAGATCACATACAAGTCGCATTGAACTGGAAACGTGAAGGAAGTCACAAAGAAATCCTCATTGAGCATCAAGTCCTGCAGTGTGAACGTAGCCAATCTGTGGGATTGTTCAGTCAGATAATACGCCGTCATCCTGATTGGTGACATTAAATGTCATGTCGGAGTCACAATCCAAGGCTGTCGCTATGTTAAGGCTGTTTTTATGGGTTCTGTTGGTTTTTCCTTAAACCTGTCTGATAGCAGGTTTAGGATTGTTAAGGGTCGATTATCGAGTCACGACTGTATTTACAAAAGAAGAGTAAACTTTAAAATTAGAGAAAAAAATGTTGAACACATATTACAGACTAACAACAAAACAGCTGCAGCAGGCGGGAAAGCTGGCACCAAACTGCAGACGGTGTTGATGTGGAGGCTTATCAATATCACTACCAGATTATTAGGGCGCAAGCAGATCAGACTATAATTACAGACGTATATTCTATTAAATGAATGTTGCTCGGATGTATTCTTCTGGTGTGTAAGACGGCTTCAACCTTGTGCAACCCTGGAGGTGTTTAATAGTCTTGGGAGCAAATAAAAAAACATCATTCAAACCAATTAGCCATGCAAAGCCTATACGGTCATAAAGTGCAAGGCTTTGTTTTAATCAGTTCCTGCTTTAGGATTATATCGCTCTAGTAATTCATATAGAACAATAAGATAGCTTTAACATCGCTCAGAGCTTTAAAATCTCTAATCTTTTCCTCCCACTATGAAAGCGCTGAGCCCCCACAGGATCCTCTATGAATGGTGATGCCATTTTCCAAGAGAATTAATTGGTCAGTGGGAGGTTGTTGTCATTAACCCGTGTGTGTGTGAGGAGTTTGTCAGACAATGTTGTGGTTTTACAATCAGTGGCGTAGCTGTGCTGAGCAGCCGCTCGGTAAATGGCTCTGCAGTGACTGCTTGTTAACATGAAGTCCTGATGGGCTGCGTTTCAGCCACCATCTTGTTCTGTTGTCTGACAACAGGAGCAGAAAAGTGTGTACATGAGAACAGCTCTGAGCAGTGGGAGTACAATCAGAGATAATGGGAAAGCCAGTCACATTAACCACACAACACACTCGGGGTTTTCCTTTTTGTGGTGGTTCAAAAATAAAAGCAATCCCGTGAACGTTCGGTTCCTTCGATGCTGGGAGTGCACGAAGACTCGTTTGTTCACTCTGGCAGCCAGCAGCAGAACATTTGGTGAGCTTTGGGTTTAGGCTGAGGCAGAAGCAGCTCTAGAAAGCAGATGGACTGTGAGGCAGCTCCTGTGAAAATGGTTCGTTCGGAAGCAGCAGATAGTGAATGAAGGGACAGGGTCACACAGAGTCTGAGCTACTCGTTTGTGGTGATACGTAGCACGTTGGTCCAAAGCTAGGAGGGTATGTAGTTATGGAGGGGCAGCTTTCACAAAACAACAAAAATACATTTTCACCATATGGGACCTTTTAGAGCAACTATTATTTAAATTTAGGGCACTGTTGGCTGCATCATAATGTTCATGTAACCTGTGGTTCTTTCAATGTTGCTGTTGTTTTGTGTGTGCTGTTTAGCATTTTGCTCATGTTCCCTCAGCTTCCACAGACATCGTGGGTTAAATGTGTTGTAAATCTGCTTCATTTGTTAGGAGACTGATTCATCATTTAGCAGTAGAGAGGAGTAGAGGTGTAACTACGCCATCTTGTGGTGAACATCTAAAGCTGCATGTCATTTGAGCCTCAGCAGGGAAAAAACTGTTGTAGGTGACATCTGCCACTGTCATCTAGTTTATACTTTATTCTTTGTAATTGTCTATTTTCTGATGAGTAGCTAAAATCGGTGTATGTTATTATGTTTTATGACATGACAGACTTTAAATAATCCAAATGCAGTCAACTTGTTTTTAAAGCCATCTCTTTTGTCTTTCAGTGGATAAAGTCACTACAGACGAAGAGCTGGAGGAGATGCTGCACCGTGACAATCTGACCATCTTCATATCTGATGTTTGTGTCATTTATTTTGTTCTTCTGTGACCTACTCTGTGTCTTTAAATGGTTGTGTAACATCCACTATGGTTGTTTGTGTCCTTGATCACAAAGCCATCTTAAATTATTATTAAAACTTTGCACTTTTCTTTTTGCAGATCAACTCTGACGCTCGGATTTCAAGCCAGGCTCTGAACGAGATTGAATGTCGTCACCAGGACATCATGTGCCTCGAGTCCAGCATCAAAGAGCTGCACGAGATCTTCCTCGACACTGCCATGCTGCTGGAGATGCAGGTAAAACTGCTCCCTCATTTGGAAACGCTTTAGAAAGACAGATATAAACTCACAGACCAAAACCTGACTGGTGTCAATCTTCTTCTACCAGGGGGACTTAATCAACAACATAGAAAAGCATGTTACGAGTGCAGCCGAGTATGTAGATGCAGCGACGACAGAAACCGAGGATGCAGTCACGTACAAGAAAAATCCGTACAAGATAGCGTTCCTCCCGAGCTTCTTCAGGCGCTCCAAGAGAAAGAACGCTGCTAAAACTGCCACTGATCAACACACCTGCAGCTTAAAGCATGACTCAGCTCCTGACCTGTTTGAACACTGACCGCACCAGATGTCCTGATCAGCATCAAAGCCTGCGTCCGATGGCTTTCATCTCATTTATGCTGCCTGTTCGCCCTTGAGGCTCTTTCCTAAAGGGTATTGATGAAGCTGTTTTTACCTTAATTGTAAATCTGAACTTTTGCAAAAAAAAAAAAAAAAGGCCTGTCAAGTGAAAGTGAAGATGTCGAGCCTCGCTGGGCAGCAGCTGCCTGATGCTGTAAGTGGATCATGAAAAGGACAAATGCAGCTAAAGGACTTGAAAATGCAACCAAAAAGTTATTTTAACTTGTAAATCAATGTTTACAGACTACAGACTTTGGTTTCACACATACCAAAGCCCTCAGTTTCCATTACAGTCCAGAAATTTGTTGTAACAGTCTTATTTTTTTTAAGCAAAACCTCTGGACTGATTTCTTCATCCATTCACTTACTCCGTTAGGCAGTAGGTGGCGTCGCAACATTATTGTAGATACAGCTCCAGGCTTTACCTTCCCTCCTCTCTGCAGTCCTGCCAAACTCTGGTGCTTTTTATCTGTGATGCTCTGTTGTGTTTGGGAGGTTTTGTTTTTTTGTCTTTTACTACTGAAATATAATCTATTGCATAATGTCTGAAGATAAAGTGACCAAGACCAAAGCAATCCTAAAATAAACCTGTGATTAATCATAGACAACATGGTGCATTATTGTAATGTGGATGAAAAAAGGGAAAAGGGTTGCCATGATGGTGTAAGACAGACAACACAGACTATAATAATAATAATAAGGGTGCTTCAGTGTTAGCAGTGTTGCTGTTCTGCTCAACTTAAACATATTTGACTTAAACATTAAGTTCAAAGCAGCACTGTGTGTAAATGCAGCATTTTTTCTTCTGTATTTCAGTTTGTTCCTGGTTGTTTGACATGTCTAAAGCTAGTCAGTGTTTGGATTAGAGTTCCTCTGACTGAGTGGTGCAGCAGTGGACGTCTGGTCATAACACTCATATGCATACACGTCCATTACTTTTCATACTCGTGCTCCTTTTTCAGATGAAGGCATTATCATCCTGCAAGGCGCCGCTGCCCTCAGGATGGAAATGTTCATCACAAGAACAAAGGCAATCACGTAGAATACATTAGCATTAATTTGCAGTGACACTCAGTCAAAGTGGACACGTGCACACGAGCCTTTAGCCAGACAATTTCCACCTCTGAAAGCGTCTGCATTTGTTGTCTTTCTCCACATTTGTCACCTGTCAGTAGGTCTTAGATTGCCTTGTGCGATTGGTAACCGCCTGAAATTGTTCTGTCTGCAAGTGTGATGTGGCTGGAGTGGAGGATACGCAGCCTGCATCATGGGACGGCTGCCAGGACGAACCCATTGACTTTTCTCACTCTGTTTCCCCTCCTCCACCTGTCGCCACCTCCTGGATAAGATTTCACAGCACCTTTTGCTGAAACCACTGATGTGCAAATGGAAACTGAAGAGGAATAGGCGTAAGATGTAAGAATGACTGTGTAAGAAAGAAAGATAATCGGATGAGGAGAAAAATTTGACAGACAGACCTACATAAAAACATGGTTTCTTTATTGGTTGTGCCAGGGTGGTGGGGCCCACAAAACAGGGCTGGACTACAGTTTAAAAGGGCTGAGTGGTGTGTGAGCGTCGGGCCCGGCTGTCTGCTTGGACAGAGTCATCCCTCTGTTTATCATTTAAGCAAACAGGAGACTAATGTGCTGAAAGTGGCCCATCTCCAAGAGAACCATTACACATTTCCCCTGATGGAATGGACTACAAGGATGGACGAGCGGACAGGAGGGAGCGGCTGAAGGACAGAAGGGGTAACAGTGTCTTTTTCTGCCTCCTCGTGGGGCTTCCACACAGGCTTACTTCTTGACTTTGCCCTGGGCAGCCACGGCCTCCATGGCCTTCTTCACGGTTTCCTCGTCGCCGAGGAACGCCATGGGCTTCACGGGCTTCAGGTCTGCGTCCAGCTCGTAGACGATTGGGATTCCTGTGGGGAGGTTCAGCTCCATGATGGCTGCATCAGACATACCTGGAAAGACGGGCGGGCGATCAGACGAACAGAACAAAGGGGTTGTAAGCGATACAACATGAAGCTGGCTGGAGCCCAGTCGTGTCTACGGGGAGGACAGTGGTCTTACATAATAAGAGTAGTAAGCAGAACAGGCTGTCTTCATATGTGACTGGATGTTATTTACTGCCTCTTTCTGCCCTCCTATGCTTAACATTCCACCTACCTACACCACCATGTGACATTTACCGCTGCTGCCCTTCAGGCTTTCTTGATGTATAACTCCCATGTCTGGCCACTCCTTGAAAAAGTACAACCTTTCGACATAAAGGTCGTGACTGTAACGGGAACCAACCTCATGACCCTCAGCACTGTTCCTGAGTCCCTGCATGCTATTTATATGCACTGCAATCCACAACTCTGTCTCTGTGTGTGTGTGTGTGTGTGTGTGTGTGTGTGTGACTATCCAGCTCTTGCCTTTTGTGCAAATGCAGTAAAAACAGTTTTCAAATCTTTGGTTAAATTGCTGGAATGTGAGTGCGAACCATTTTACAGTGTTGGATTTTATTGCATTCACCTCCACCTACTGTATCAGAACCTTTTCATTCACTGCTTTTATTACGGCGTCATCCACCTGCGGACTGTAAAGCTCACCCTCTAAGTGCTTGACGATGCCACGGAGGCTGTTGCCGTGGGCAGCGATGATAACGTTCTTGCCGGCTTTGATTTCAGGAGCGATGACTTCGTTCCAGAAAGGCAGGGCACGGGCGATGGTGTCCTTCAGTGACTCACATGTGGGCAGCTCACCGGGCTTCAGGTTCTTGTAGCGCCGAGACTGGAGGGAGATGGAACAGCAAGCAGGTATTTCACTCCCACAGCTGAAGTTACGTAAATCTTATGAGCAAACACTGGAGTTCTATAAAGTCAATACTCCTCTGGTTAATTGGTTGAAGCTGCAAGTTGCATAATGATTAGTTTAATTGTTTATTCTAAATTAACCGCCTACACCTCTTTGTCTTACCTCGCTGATGACTTTGTGGTAAGGGTGGTCGTTCTCCATGGGTGGAGGTGGGATGTCAAAGGAACGGCGCCAGATCTTCACCTGCTCCTCGCCGTGCTTGGCGGCCGTCTCCGCCTTGTTGAGCCCGGTGAGGCCTCCGTAGTGGCGCTCGTTCAGACGCCAGGTGCGAATCACGGGCACCCACATCTGGTCCGTTCCCTCCATGATGGTCCACAGGGTCTTGACTGCACGCTTCAGCACGGATGTGTAGCACACGTCAAACTTCATGCCTGCATCCTTGACAGCCTGGGCGCCGCGCTTGGCCTCCTCCACGCCCTTCTCGCTGAGGTCGGCATCGAACCAGCCGCAGAAGCGGTTCTCCTGGTTCCAGGCGCTCTCGCCGTGGCGGACGATAACCAGACGGTGGACGGCAGTCATGTTTAATCGTGTTTTTCCACACACAGAGCCCTCAGCCCTTCTAAGTTGTACACACACACACTGGCTGACCAACAGTGAGCCCACACCAGCATACCAAACTCTTTTTATAGCAGCTCGGCTGGTGGCAGACGGGCCCTCTGGACTTTCCACCTGTGACTGGCTTTCATGCTCTGATGGACGCACAAGGCGGGCCAGTGAACGCAGCCCTCCGCTGGGCTGTGGGGACATGTGGTGTCTGGGAAGGCCAGAGGTCAGAGATTAGGCCAAAATAGCAACATGACTTTTAAACCGAGGTCTGTGGAACAAAAGTGTAAAGATCAGAGTTGGCTGCAGAGAGGCGCCTCGCACCGAGATGAACAGTTTCTGACACTGAAGAGTTGATCTGTTTAGTAAATAAAACATTTGATTATTTGTTGTGTGGTACAACAATAAGACACCGTGGGAGGGGACATTTCACAGTCGATATGCAGCCAAACAGCTGCACGCAGGCCTTTCTCTGATTGTAAATGTAGCTGCCAGCGAGACAAATGATGGAACTGACTGCCAACGCTGCTGCTACTATTACTGCTGCAAATAACTTGTTATAAAAAACTCAGGTAAAAACTTAACGACAACATAAAGCATAAAAAAAAGTCTGGCAGTTAAAAAAAAAAGAAAAGTTATAAAGCCTGGCCTTAAGGTTTGAACTCCATCCATAAGGGTTCAATCTGGTCAAACTGGAAACCATCATAAAGTCTTGAACAGGCAGGAAACTTTATAAAGTGTTATTTCTGTCCATCACCTCTAGGAGTTGCTCTAGTATCATATAAAACAGTCACTTTTTACATGCAACATTCTGGTCTGCACTGCATGAGACTGAATATAAAACAAAAAACACACGAGAAGTAAATTTTAAAGGAATTATTTAGCAAGAAAATTTTAGAATTTGATCATTAATGTGAATACTCTTTGTGGCGAGTATTACAAGCATGATAAATTACAAACCAAAACATGACATTGCACTTTAAGCTTAGACTGCTTTAATTTTAATTTTGAACCATGAAACATCCAGCGTTCCATCCTCATGAACATATCAAACGTTTCTGTCAATGAGAGAAATAACTGAAGCCAAACGTTCTGCAGCATCTATGATGAACTGTAACGCTGGACAGCAGGGATGCACAGAAACTCACGGGACGGAGATAAAAGAGCTGAGCAAGCTTGAAAACTGAGCCACAGACCCAGAGCTGTCAGGCAAAGTCGAAGTCTCCGGCCCCTCACAATCAAATTATACTCCACGGGAAATACAATAGTCCAAAAATATCATATTAATGGATTGCCGGGCTTGACGCCAGCCGTCTTCACATGATCATGACATTGGGCCGGTGTACTGTACACAGTGAGAAGAATGATGCTGCAGGAGCAAAACTAGAAACGCTGTCTTTGTGTGGCCGGGCCTCTCTGGCTCTGGAGGGAATTGATGGTACGTCACCTAAAGATGATGAACCGTTCTCCAGCAGAAACACTCTGATAAGCCAGCTGTGAGCTGCCAAACATGACCGACTGACATAGTGACATAGTGGCTGTTGGACCAAGTGTGAAGCTGGCCGAGACCAGAACAGGACTTAAATTAAAAACATGAGACTTATATTTAGAAAATGCCATAATGAGTGCTGATTCCCTTGTGTCCGGCCATGGCTGTGTATCTGTTTTTATGCTTTTTTTGGCCCTCTAGTGGTAAAAATATATACTCTGGCATCCTATACAGACTATTTTTAAAGCAAACTAATTAACTGCAGCCCCGCTGTCACTGACTCAGCTGTCGGTGCACTGAGCTGTCATCCATTTAACCACGATGACAGAAGCTGGGATTGTGAACTGGGAATGTTAATGGGAATACTGTGCTATCTAGGCTGATGCAGGTATGTTACAGGTAGAGCAAGAAAACAACCTGGAAATGATCGCTGTAAGTGGGTGAATTAGTTTGGAAAGAGAAGTTAATGATCTACTTTCTGCGTCTCGTTTCCCCAGGTCCTGTAAGCATCTCGTCTGCCAAAAAACTGCCCCGGTGCAGATTGTCAGACTGCTGTTAGGGTGGGAAAAAGCGTGCACAGGGGAGTTTGTGTGATCACAACTGTTACGATGACTCAGCCTGCAGCAGAGTCCATGCAGCTCCCACTGAAGTCCCCCACCTCCCACTGCCTGCCTCGCTGCTGTTTGGGCTCAGCACAGCCTGTAAGTACCGGGGGCCTTTGCTGCAAAGGCAAATTACACAAGCAGCACACGCTATACATCAGTCATATACACAGAAACACACTTACTGTACACACACACAGAGAAACTGCTGCAAAGCTCTGCAACACGCTGCATTTAGAGAGCGAGATGAATCTCCAAACATTAACTTTGACTGCATACCGACACAGATCCGCACTCGACAGTCACACAAGAGCAGAAAACGCCCGTCAGCAGCTGGGTGTAATTGAAGTGCCAGTGTAACGGCTCTGCAGGCGAGAGGGACAGTTTGTCTTTTATAGAACTGGAGACAACAAACCTGACAAAAAGCAAGATGGCTTCACTTTCACTGATAGAAAAACAACAACGTAATCTCTCTTTTATGAACAAAACTATCAACTGAACTGTTGAGGTTTTTTTTTATTGTTTCTCCCTGCGTCAAATCACAAGGACACCATATGCACTTATTGATTAGATCTGTGAATATCTTGTGTCACTGATGTTCTCAAGACATGCACAGAGAGAGCCACTCTGGTTTCTCCCTCTACTGATAATGATATATGGACTTGGTTTTGTAGATAACGCTTCTGGAAAAAGAGAACAAAGCCACAAATATATATGAAGAGAGGAAAAAATATCACATGTATTTAACCTATTGGTTCATTAAAATTCATACCACAGCAGAACTTATTTATAATAATGCTGTGTTTTCTACAAACAGGTATTTGTTACGACAGAAATGCATTTACACGTCCGCCTACTCTTTGTTGTGTCTTCCCTGCCGTCAACATGTGGCCACTTACCATCTGTTTGGGTGGGATTCTCTCCTTGCAGGGCCTCTGAGGTCGTGGCTGTACTTCGGCTCTCCACCAGGAGGAGAGATGCTGTGTCACGATTCCTAAACCAGGACATCCCCCCCTCTTCTCTGCAGTGAGAATAGCACAAGAGGCGTGTTAGAGATATGTTTTTGTCCATGAAGTATGGCACTCCCAGCTGAATGTGCAGCTGTCTGCAGCATTACTGACTGGATTCTCTGTTCAAACTGGTGATGTGCTCGATTTGTTTAGTTTTGGATGCATTCATGTTTTGCTGCACTGATGAAGCTGCTTCATGAGTCTCTGTCATGTAGAAATGAGGCTTGGTTTAACATTACTGCTGATGCCAAGGTCAGGGCATCGTGCAGCTTTCTATCATGTCATTTTTGCAGCCGCCTCCCTCCAGTTTATCCACTCTGTCTTTAACCCTTACCTATTTCCCTTCTACACTTATTCCCATGGTCCCTTTCTGTCTTATTTCTTGCCGTTGCGGTGCAAGCCTATACAGCCTGCATTGTCAGAGTTTGGGGAAAGCGCTTGCGTCAGACCCCTCCATCCTGCTATAAAAGCAGCAGGCTGCTGCAGCAGCAAGCAGTCGGTGCCTAAACCTGAGCCCTCCGCACACCTCCGCCCACACACACACACACACACACACTAAGAGGAGAGGGAGAGTCATCTGTCCTCCCAGCACTCAGCCATGAGTAGCATCGGATATGACCCCTACTACTCCACCTCGTCATACAGACGCTGGTATGTTGAGGCTCCCCCTCGGGTGGTGGTGACCAGAGGGAGGACCCACTCCGCCTACTCTTCCCACGCATCCCCGCTGTCCTCCTCCCGGCTGCAGTACTCCTCTCCTGGCCGGGTGCTGTTCTCCTCTCCATCACCAGCCTCTTCCCTGGAGCTGGAACTCAGCCAGGCGGCCCAGATCAGCTCTGAATTTCGAGCCGTACGCACACAGGAGCGCAGCCAGCTGCAGGATCTCAACGACCGCTTTGCCGGCTTCATTGAGAGAGTGCGTGAGCTGGAGCAGCAGAATCGTGCTCTGGAATCAGAACTGCTGCTGCTGAGGCAAAGGCACACCGAGCCGTCCCGTCTGAGAGCGCTGTACGAGCAAGAGGCCCGGTCCCTGAGGGCAGCTGTGGATGAAGCCAGGGCAGAGCAGCAGGCTTTCCTGGGCCAGAAGGAGCGACTGGAGCAAACCCTCAATGCCTTGCAGGGTCGATACGAAGAGGAAGTGCTGGGTCGGGAGGAGGCTGAGGGCAGGCTGATGGAGGCCCGTCGTGAGGGAGACGAGGCTGCTTTAGCAAAGGCTGAGCTGGAGAAAAACGTTGAAACTCTGCTGGAGGAGCTGGCCTTCCTCAAGAGGATTCATGAAAGCGAAGTGGCCGAGCTTCAGGCCCAAGTCCAGCTGGGTGTCCAGGTGGCTGTAGAGTCTGAGGCTGCCACCCCGGACCTCTCTGGGGCTCTCAGGGATATCCGGTCCCAGTACGAGAGGCTGGCGGCGAGGAACATGCAGGCGGCCGAGGAGTGGTTCAGAGGCAAGGTGGGCTCCCTAACCGAAACCGTGGCCCAGCACAGCGACGCCGTGAGGAGCTCCAAGGACGAGGCAGGAGAGTATCGACGCCAGCTACAGGCCCGCCTGCTGGAGATCGAAGCATGCAGAGGCCTCAATGAATCCCTGGAGAAACAGCTGCACGAGATGGAGGACAAGCAGAGCGCCGAGATAGCTGCTATGCAGGTCAGTGAAGCAGCTGTAGCACCCTGTACTCTTTCACAACATGTAATCTATTACTTGAGGTTTTATCATTCTGCCAGTTTTATGTCTCTGTGACTCGTATAAAAAAAAACATTTGACTTTGGCTTCTATTTAGGACACCATCGCTGAGTTGGAGAACGAGCTGAGGGGCACTAAACAGGAAATGGCACGCTACCTGAAGGAGTACCAGGACCTGCTGAATGTCAAGATGGCTCTGGACATCGAGATCGCTGCATACAGGTGACAGACACACACAAAAACAGTGAGGCTGACAAATCACAGTGGGTTTCTGAAAATAAAACAAACTTATCTACTTATTAGTTTTGATTTTAGCAGGTAAAAGCAGGACATGAACAGTTAATTAGAGGCGACAAAAGACACAGACTTTTAAAGAAGTTGTTCATTTAAGTCATTTACACTTTAGATATAATGTTTGGTTTTGTGTAAATCTGCTAAATGCATGGTAAATATAATGTGTAAATGCATGAAAAGCCTCTTGGGACATGAGTTGGCTTCATCTGAAACTCCCATCAGAGCCTAATCAGAACAGACGTCCTTCACTTTATTACCTCCATCGCTGTAAATAAAAGGCCACTAACTAAACCTATGCCTATAACTGGAGCTCCTCGTACTCATCAGCTGTGTTTTCATCGACCCGTACAGGAAGCTCTTGGAAGGGGAGGAGTCTCGCTTCAGCGTCGGCGTGGCTGGGGGCGTGTCCTCCTTGTACGGCCACAGTTTGTCGGCGCCCTCCTACGCCCGGCCCGTCCTCTCCAGCCTCAGCTCCGGCACCTCCTACCTGATGACGTCGCGCCTGCTCAGCTCCAGCGTCAGCACCACCGAGGGCATCATCTCCGCCAGCCATGCCCAGCAGGCAGAGGCCAGCCCGCCTGGGGAGGAGGAGGAAGAGGAGGAGGAGAAGGAGGCAGAGGAGGAGGTAGAGGAGGAAGAGGCGGAGAAGGAAGAAGAGGGAGGCGAAGAGGCGGGAGAAGAGGAGGAGGAGAAAAAGGAGGAGGAAGAGGAGGGAGAGGATAAGCAGGAGGAGGAAGAGGGAGGAGAGGAGGAGGCAGAGAAGGAAGATGAAGAGGAGGCCAAGGAAGCAGAGGAGGAGGCAAAGGAGGGAGAAGAGGGTTGGTGCATCTTTTAATCATACTGTGCACATAGAATTGTTAAGGATTAGATAAATGATAATAAAACTTTCATGTGTTGATGCAGGTGGCGATGAGGAGGAGGAGCAAAAAGAGGAGGTAGCGGAGGCCGCTGAAGAAGAGGGAGAGAAGGACGACAAAGGTGAAGGAGAGGAGAGTGAAGCCAAAGAAGAAGCACAAGAGGAGGAGAAGACCGAAGGAGCAGACGACAAAGAGGAGGAGGCAAAAGAGGAAGAAAAAGATGAGAAGGAAGAGCCTAAAAAGAGTGAAGAGAAAGAAGACAAAGCCGACGCCAAGAAAGAAGACAAAGCCGACGACAAAGAGGCCAAGGCCGCCCCGAAGAAAGACGACAAAGCTGACGCAAAAAAGGAGAAGGAGGAAGAAAAGGCAGCCAAACCCGAACCAGCCGAAGAGAAAAGCACAAAGGGTAAAAAGTAAGCCGTTAGCCTTAGCAACACTTCAGCCAAGACTGTCCACAGCTCGATAACCAGTAGAGACATCAGCGCTGTCCTCTCAAATCTGCTTGTTAACATGGTGCTCAATGAAACAGTCCAATAGCCATTCACAGCAACAAATCAAGGTTAACTGCTTGCCAATATCCAGAATAATCCATAAAGGTTTGGCTGCACACTTCCTGATGAGTGTCAAATGTGTAATTGCTGAATGCTACCGTGCGTGTGTGAGTTTTTGGTGGTTAAATAAATGATTGTCAAAGCCATGTGTGTCTCTGATTTGACTTAAAGTGAACCAGTAGAGGAGCAGCACAGATTCATGATGTGGACTTTTGGTGGAGCTTGTAAGTCTCGGGACACCTGCTGCTCTACACTTGCCCTCAGGAGTAGTTTTTGAGGGAGGCGAGCATGTCAGATTCACTCGAACCGACAAGCGGTGACTAAACTGTCACAACAGCACTTCTCAGACCATTAATACCCTGCTGGGTTGTATGGCCAGTCACCAGAGGCATGGATTTCAGGGGATACAGCTACCTAAATACTTAAAACGCATGCATTTGTCGCCCCTGATAAAATATTAAAAGGAAGCAGAGGAGATTTATTTTAAGAAACTGTTAAAACACTTCCAACAGGGGGGATGTCCTTTTTATTTACTATAAGAAACACAGATATATGTCATCTGAATGTGCAGAAGAGTGAATGAAAAGGTGTTATATGCAGATTTCAAGAGGCTACTGCCACAAACAAAACGTAAAAAAGAAGCCAGATGAGTAAATCGTGCTTGTTTGTGTGTTCATTCTGCAGGGATAATATTAAATGGCAAAAGGTAATCTGCAAGAGAATAAACACTTGAAAGCAATGCAGATTGCTTGAGGGCATCACATTATGCATTATGCATTATGTTTCATTGTATTTTGATATTTTTCTGGGGCAGGATCTCCACCTTCTACTTAACAGCCATGCCTGTCACATTCATTCCTGCTGTATTTAAAGATGTCTGGGACATCTGAAGTAAGGCCACGTGTCTTTCACAAGATTAAATAACAAAATGTTCCCCTTATAAATCAATAGAATGACAACAAAATGCTCTCTTACTGAGTTTAATAGGCAGCAGCTGCCAGCATTATTTAGCCTGACAGTTGTAAGACTTGTAGCTTAGTGGCTAGCTAATGTTATGACAGGTAGCTAGCTGTCATAACATTAGCTGGCAGCTAAGCTAATGTTAGAAGCTGTATTGCTGTCTATGACTTAACTGTTTGTGCAGCAGTTAGACTATAGTTTAGCATTTTTAAGGCTTTTTATTTGTAATTAATTAATTAAAAAGTAAAATACAGCACAGTTTCTTACCAGGAGACGAGTTTGTTGTTTCCTGTTTGTGGCTCCTCTCAACGGACGTTTTTAGAAGAACCGGTGAGAAACTTTGGAGAAGGAAGGAAAACTTAAAACTAGTCATCCTGTGATTCAGCTGCTGGCCACTGAGGCCGCTGTTAGCTTCAAGGACACTCCACGGATGTAAATTACACCGACATGACTTGTTGGAGTCGAAGGGCAGCGTTGTTTCTTGCCAAAAGTTCACTGGAAGGTTGTTGATGTTGTGTTATGCTAGTAGCGGCTAATGTAGCTGCTAGTGGCTAGCCAGAAGCTAGACGCAGAGGGCTACTGCTACTACTACTGCCGAGGTCTCTTACGGTAGGCGCTCTTTCTTTATAAATTAACCACTAGAATTTAATTTTAGTTTCCACATTTTGTATTTAGACCTAGCCGTTTTTCCCCAAAAATTCAGCTGTTAATTATTATAATACCGTTACCGTCATACTCGGCAGCAAAGACACGTAAGTTCCGTGTAACAGCGGCCACTGTGGCTAAAGGCAGCAATTACAGGTTTTCAGGTTCAATACTTTTTGCCATTTAAATTTGCCTTGGTGACAAAAACAACCCTGTAGGGATGCAAAACAAGCACTGGCAAATGGCCAAGCAGAATAACTGAAAAGAGAACATTTGGGAAGCAGGTGAAATTATTCAGTCATTAAAATTAACAGGCTAACAAATGGTTAGTTTAGCTTACTTGGCTAAGTGAGTTTAGCAGCTGCAGCAGAAACAAAAACAAGAATTGATTGGAGAAAAAGTGTGTTTAACTGTAATGGACTGCAGTTTTAGTTTGTAAGTGAAAGAATAGATTTTGCTTCTTTCTATACTTGCCTAGTCTCACTGTGAGGGCAAAGGGAAGCATGTATGACTTCCAGCTAATTTCTACCATTGGAAAAAAAAGTACTGAAAGTCAAACCAACAACTCCTGGAGGACCAGAAACACAAGACCTCAGTCATTGTTCAAGTTTTAATGTGTTTTACAGAAGCAAAGAGTCAGATTAGATTACCAGATGAGGGCAGAGGCTGGAAGTATGCACAAAACTAAACATGATAGGGAGTGAAAATGACATTAAGGTTGTTTTTGCAATCGCATCAGATTAGAGACTGAAAGAAAAATATATATTCTAATGTGATGTCTGAACACATCTGCACACAGACACACACTGATGCACCTCACACTCAGACACCTGACGTTCCCCAGAAGCTGTAGACAAGTACTGAGCATCTAAGGATTTAAGAAAAAACCCTATTTCCCTCTTTTGACACAGTTCCTTTGCCTCCAGCCCGTCACTGACATCTGCCATCGCTCACTGGATTTATGCTGCTGTTGACAAAAAACTAAAACCAAGACACTTATTTCAAGCGTCTTATCTAAAGCTGAGAATAGAATTAAGGTTCAGAAATTTATTAACAGACAAACAGAGCAATAAATCCTACCCCTCGTTTCTGGAGAGTCATTCAGACTGTTTAATTAAATATCCACTCTGCGTGTCATTAAGACCATCAGTGAATATTATTACATTAAAGGAAATCAGAGAACGATCTAAATTAGGTTGATTGGTTTCATTTCATTTTTGTAAATAATATTTGTAATATCTCGAGAGCTTTTGTGGGAGATATTTTAAAGTTTGTTTCTGAATAAAAAATGTTAAATATCTTCACCATGATGTATTTTGTGGCCTTTTGGGGCTTTCAAAAGATAAATTATGGTCTTTAATAATTTGCTGTGTTCGAGGATCAGTTGATAAATCTCAGTTAGATTAAATAAGACATTTTTTTAAGATAGTTATGTCACAATTAATGTTTTATAATAATTTTTGTAGCTACCTTGTGATGCTTTTACCCACTAAACCAACGACTAATGTACTTTTTATAACAGTTGATGCTTGTACATACAATCACATATAAAGCAAACCACATCCTAATGTGACAATAATAATAAAATGACAAGAGACACATTTTTTGTTGTTTTTTTTTACTTCATTATGACATTTATTGAGCAAATGCTGCTGGGAAATCGTTCATGATGAGTAAAGTCATGGGATTGCAAACAGTAGCACCTCATTTATTTTTGTATTTAAATTCAAGTCCATCCTATGCATACAAGAATGCACGTATCTACGCATTTACAGTTATATTTCCTTTGTTGTTTTGTTTTTTCAGTTGCACTCAGGTAAACATAACAGACACTGATAAAAAGCATGTTTAAGGCTAGGAGTTTCTTCAGGTTTGTTAAGCTTCAGTTACTGGATGTATATGGCCGTTGTGTTTTATCATATCGTTGCCCGTCTCTTTCTTCGCTGTATGTCGTGTATTTGTTGTTAGGTTTCTTTTTGGCTCAGTTGGTATCTTCACATGTCAAGTAAGGCTTCTTCAGTAGAGTACGTGTCTGCTTCGAGGACCCTCCCACCTGCCTGTCCTGTCCCCCCACGTTCGCTTAAACTCAAAAATCCTCAATAATATTTCTTTCGCTCTCCCACCCATGTATTCCTTGTACATATTTACGCTTTTTACAGTGTATTCCTACCAAACATACAGATAAGAGAGGAACGTACTCCCCTCCCCTGAGCTAGCATGCAGAGATCCCCGTCCCTCCCACCCACGAGCTCACCTATGAACTGCAGAAAGAAAGAGGAAAAAGAAGAGAAAATGTCTCAGTCGCTTGCTCCTGACCGCATCTGCAGCGAAGCCCATTTAAAGCTTTCACTCAACATGCATTTTTGAAAGTTGTAGCATTTTAAGTTTTTGCCTTCTCTCTATGATTTTGTTTCGTATGTTTGAGAGTGGTTATCTTTATTACATCGCTCTAGCTGTATGATTTTCTTTGTTATGTTAGTTCTGGATTGATTGCTTGTCGTGTTGCTCTCCTCCTCGCTGCCCCTCCGCGTCGTCCGGCCCATCAGCTGTTTTGGAGTCCGCTCATTCGCCCTCGGTGACCTGCTTGATGGACTGGGTGGAGTGCTTCTCCAGCTTCTTGGTGGAGACCACCTTCTCTTGCAGCATCTCCTCCACCTCCTTCACCGTTTCTGTCACGGTGACGGACTTGGTGACGTGCTTGGACCCGTCCTCTCCGGTGGTGATGGTCTCCACCGTCTTGGTGATCACCACCTTCTGGCTGCCATCTTCCTTGACGGGGCTCTCGTCCACGCCGTTAGCGATCACGTCAGCCTCCTTCCCCTCGTCCTTCTTCTCTTTCTCCTCTGGGCTGCTCTTGTCCACGTCGCCGTTCATGGCCACATCCTTCTTTTCTACCTTCTTCTCTTCTGTTGCGTCGCTCTTCTTCTCTGACTTTTCTTCAGCGGCCTTTGGAGCCTCTGGTTTTGGGCTCTCGGACTTTGGGGACTCAGCTTTTGGGGAGCTAGGTTTAGGGGACGCAGCCTTTGGTGAGCCTTCTTTGGGGGATTCAGACTTAGGAGAAGCAGGTTTGGGGGATTCAGATTTAGGAGACTCGGGTTTGGGGGATTCAGACTTGGGGGAGCTAGGCTTTGGGGATTCAGACTTTGGAGACTCAGGTTTAGATCCCTCTGTTTTGGCAGCCTCCTCCTTGGCGGCCTCGGGCTTTGCAGCTTCTGTTTTCGGAGCTTCTGCCTGGGCTACAGCTTTCTCTGATTTGTCATCTGCTTTCTCATCTTTTGCCTTCTTCTCATCTTCCTTTTTGCCTTTGTCTGCATCCTCTTTGTCATCTTTCTCGTCTTTGTCATCTTTCTCGTCTCCGCTTTTGGATGCTTTGTCACTGCCTGCGTCCTCCTCCTGATCTCCACCCTCCTCCTCGGCAGCAGCCTCCTCCTCTCCTCCGCTGCCCTCCTTGTCTCCGGCCTTCTCTTTGTCAGGAGAGGCTTTAGACTCTGGAGCTTTGGAGCACAGCACCGTCTCCTCTACCTCCTCCCCTTCTCCTCCTTCTTCTCCTCCTTCTTCGTCGCCTCCCTCTGCGTCACCTCCTTTGTCTCCCTCATCCTCGCCCTCTCCTTCTCCCTCACCTTCCTCTTCCTTCTCTCCCTCCTCGCCGCCTTCTCCCTCCCCCTCCTCGCCCTCATCGCCCTTCTCATCCTCCTCCTCCTCCTCCTCCTTAGCGGGTGCGCTAGCGCTAACTTTGGCTTCAGTGGCGGCTACAACTTCCTCCTCCTCTCCGCCCTCCTCACCTTCTCCCTCTTCCCCCTCGCCCTCTGCCTCTTCTCCCTCTCCCTCCCCCTCGCCACCTTCCTCCTCCCCTCCCTCTTCCTCCTCTCCCTCCTCTCCCTCCTCTCCCTCGTCTCCTCCCTCCGCGGCAGACAGCTCCTGTGCGATCTCTGCCAGGTCGGCGTCTAACTCGCCCTTGTCGTCCTCCACCCTCGTCTCCTCGATGATCTCCTCCACAAACTTGTGCTGCACCTTAAGCTTGGAGGTCTCTGATTTGGGCTTGGAGATTTTGGTGGAGGTGACCGCCTGGCGATAAGGGAAAGTGCTAAAGTGGGTCTCCTCACCCTCGAGGAGTTTCCTGGTGGGGGACAATAAATGTTGTACACTTTGAACTCACTTTTGAAACTGAAATTAAATTCTGCAACTTAAATGTTCTCGTTTTATTACCTGTATGCAGCAATCTCGATGTCCAAGGCCATCTTGACATTGAGCAGGTCCTGGTACTCGCGCAGGTGGCGAGCCATCTCCCACTTGGTGCTCTTGAGCTCATTATCCAGCTGGTGAATCGTCTCCTGAGGACACACGCAGCAAACACGACGTTCGGTTGATTAAGAACTTTATGCAGGACGAAGCTTTATTCTCTTTACACTCAGCTGTATTCGCTTCAGACTCTCCGTGGATTACAGAGAGACTAACTTGGAGTCATTTTTTCTGATCCACCACTGCGGTAAAACTGAACCCATGTCAGTTCAGCCCTTTTTCTATTCTCTGGTACGTTTTTGTAAACTCTGTGGACTTTGTGCGTCGAGGCTGTTGCTTTAATTTATTCTGACGCAATACAGTATTGTAGAGGTGCTGAATGCTGCTGCTTCAAGGGCAGCCTCCACACAGTTTCAATACACCCCCACCCCCACCCCAAAATCTCAGTGGTGTGATGCAAGGACAGAGCCAATGAAGGCATCGACCCATGCCTCTGACTCAGCAAGAGAAAGGAAGAGAGAGAGAGGGATGGATGGAGAGAGAGAGTCTGCTGCAGCTTCGTCCCTTTAACCATTTCCTGACTCTTGCTCAAGCTTGTAAAGAAAGTCAGAGCTGAGTAAGTAAAGCAAAGCGCAGTGATGCCACCTAAAGAGTCATCACGCAGCTGAAATGTCTGACCAAAGCCCTAAGCTGTGATAAAACACACTGTCATGTGGTTTTCAGTCAAGTTTGCTCTTTTAGAGTCTCCCAAATAAATGCTGCGTCACTGAGAGAAGCGTGTGATGCATTAAGCAGATGAATTTAACCTGTTCATGGCCGCTGGAGCGACACAGACCCGCATCACCAAGAGTTAAACACACACATCTGCTTAATAATGTGTCAAATCACAAACTATAAGCATCTTACATGTTGTTTAGAAGCCAATTTAAATGACATCATATGTTTCCAACTCTTTGCGCGCGCCTGTGCGGCTGCTGCGTCCTACCTGCAGGCTGGCCAGGTCGCTGTTGTGGCGGTCCTCGATGTCGTTCAGCTGCCTCTCCAGCGAGTCTCTCGTTCCGCGGACGGACTCCAGCTCCACCGTCTTGGACTGCAGCTGGCGGCGGTAGTCGGCGATCTCATCTCGGGCGGACTTGATGGCGTCCTTGTTCTGCTCCGCAGCCTCGGTGAGCTTGGCGTAGCGGCACATGAACCAGTTCTCCACCTGCTGCAGGTTCTGGTTGGAGTGGCCCTCCAGCTCGCAGCGGATCTCCCGCAGAGCCTCGGTGATGTCCGCCTTCTGGAGGTCTTTCCTCTCCACCGTCACCTGAGACGCCTGGATCTGGGCGATGAGCTCGCTCACCTCTTCCTCGTGGTTGTTGCGGATGAAGGCGATCTCATCCTGCAGCGACTGAACTTTCTTCTCCAACTCAGACTTCACCAACTCCGAGTCGCTCGAGTCCTTCTTCAGGACACGGATGATGGCCTCCGTCTCCTCCCGGATGCGAGCCTCTTCGTCAAAGCGGTCCCTGAGCCGCTGGATGTCCTCCTCGATGTGGTCGGTGTCGAGCTGAATGTGCGCCTTTTCGTGGTGGATTCGCTCCAGCATGGAGCGCAGATCCTGCAGCTCCTGGTCGTAGAGGTCGTCCAGCTGGGTGCGTGACACCTGTTTCTGCCGCAGTGCCTGGATCTCATCCTCGATCTGCTTGTTCTGCTGCTCCAGGTAGTGCACCTTGTCAATGTAAACAGCAAACCGGTCGTTGAGCCCTTGAAGTTGCTCTTTCTCGTTAGATCGCTTGTAGTCTCCGTTCAGGATGGAGGTTTGACTATAATCAACGCTGTCGGCGGAGCTGAGCACTGTCGAGCTGTATGCCCGGGACACCGGCATATTGACGCTCCTCTTGTAGGACGTGGTCATGGTGGAGCCGGGACTGGCCCGGGACCAGGACTGGGATCGAAAGCCGCTGGAGGGGGTGCCGCTGGAGCGGCTGTAGCCGTAGCCGGTCGTTCTAGTATCCATAACTCTCCTGAAGGGACTCCCTATCGTGTCCACCGGGTAGCTCATCCGGTCAGACTACCGTAGGGGATGTGCGCAGTGATGAAGGGGGGACGGTGCAGGAGGTGGAGGCGTGTGGCGAGTGTGTATGTGGGTGTATGTGTGTTATGTGTGTGTGTGCAGGTGAGGGGTGTATGGCTCTCACAGCAACGGAGACCTCCTCCGTCTGCTCCTTATATACGTGAGGCTCTGTCGCTAACAAGGCAAGTGCAAGCAGTTTTGTTTGGTCCGCTGATGGACGGGAGGGGAGGGCGCTTCTCCCTCCGGCCGCCTGCTAATGGTCCCGGGACCTGCTCCGTCTGAACCACGTGGGCTGGAGCAGCTACGTGTGTGTCTCATTTAAAGTTAACATACAACATAGATACATACATAGATAGACACATAGGACTTTTTAATTCCCCTTACTTTCTTTATCTGGACTGAAAAAATAAAAACACTGCTGCCAGTGTGTTAATGTGACGTGAGTGATGTTATTCAGCACCACGGACAGCGACAAGCTGCTGCTGTTGAGATGACAGCAGCTTCTTTATTCACGGATCATTGAAGTGAACTATGAATGCAAAAGCTACCACTCCATGGCAGCTTTGTGTTCCTGCTGATGCAAAGTCAAAGAAATGTGAAGACTGTCATGCTTGTCTTGTCATTTCATCCAGTTTAAATCCAATAGAGTTTACAGCAACAGCTGCTTTGTGTTTGTACGTCGTCTTCACTCAACCAGATGTCAGCAGGAGGCTTTATGTTAGAAAACTAATATTCATGCATTCATATACAGTATTTTATTATTGTTCATGTACAAAGTTCCTTATTAAAAGTAATAAGAGGATTTACAGCAGATTATTTATGTTTTAATTGACAATTCTTGGACGACTGTGATACAGTAACAACCAGTATTCAGTTTGAGTTACAGAACAAAACAAAATCATACAGTTTATACAGAAACTGTAGAACTTCAAAGCTGAATTTATTTAATGGGAGATGAGGTTCAGGTTGTGAAAAGCTTGGGGAATTTGCCATCTCACTGCACAGTCTGTCCTAATAATTGCATCTCTAGAAATTAGCGAGTCATTTTTTAATTTAAGATAATATCAGTGACTCAGAAAATTTGCTAAGTGTCAAGTGTTGATCTTCATCTAGCTCATACACTCAATACAGAACTACTAACAAAGTCATTTGTACAGTCTACATGTAAATGTTTTCAGCTACAGAAACGTAACCTTCACTTATTGTAAGTTTTCACTAGTTTTGTTGTATAGTGACAACATTTATTCACTATATAGATGCACACACATCTCCATGGCTGATCTTTTCTATCGTAGGTGCGAAACCACATGGGATTTGTGAGTTATTCATGCATTTGATGAGACGTTTCCCCCACACAGTGTGGCCTCAGTGTGCGTATGTGGTGCCCCGGCCTCACCAAAGGGCCATTGATTTCCTATCAATCTGGACGCTTCACTCAAATATCAGATGACTTGGGTCGATATGAAACGATTACCAATTGTCGGTGGTAATGCAGCAAAAAGCGCTGCATCAGTTTTCTTTTTTTTAATGCATTACTTAATGTATTAAATTCAATCAAAGTCATCAACACGTCCCTTTTACAGTACCTGTAAAAAAAAAAAAAAGTGCTGATAATCTTGCAAAGTGCACGCATACAGCAACTGATCAGGAACCTGTACGTATGCTGCATTTCTGGTGATGATTCACACGACTCAAGTGGCTATATTTTGTACCCTGAACTAAATTTTCCACATATAATAATAATCACCTATCTACATTTTCTCGTCCCCCCTCATTGGCTTTCCATTGCCAGCTTTAGTCAGGCAGAGCTAATGCATCAAGCATGGCCAATTTTAGATTGCTCCAGAGACAGAAAGGCAGACAGAGAGAGAAACTGAGCTAGAGCTAGACAGAGAGGGAGGGAGAGGTGGTCACAGTGACTTTCCCGTCCCGTTCCTGCACGTCTGTCTGCTTTAAGCGCTAGCAAGTATGGAAAACGGTTATAGTTCAGGAGCCACACCCATCGTCTGCTTGCATGCTCACGTCTGGGTGTCCTTGAACATTGTCCTGTGACTTATGCCTTGTTCAGGCCCTGCTACCGGCTGCAGGATGTCAGCTACCCATATTTCACTGCTGGTCTGGCCGCTCAGAACCTCGAGGTGCTTTTTTGGATGCCCTACAAGGGTGGCGGTGGTGTGATGTACATAACGGAGTGAGGGTGTGTGGCAAAAACAGGGGAGTCATTCAACATCAGTTCTGGGCTCCAGCGCACTGCAGAAGGCTTGGAGTGTTTTCAAATGGCACTGCAGTAGAAACAGGCTCTAACAAGCAGACGTGCCCATCCCAGTCAGCCCCAGTCTGTCTCGGCCTGACCCCTGCAGAGACCCATCCACGCTGTACGAGTGTGTCACGAGTGAATTCCCACTCGAATGGGGTCAAGGCAGGCGGCGTAGTGCAGCATGTTGTGAGACAGCATAAGCTGCAAGGTCAGTGTCACCTTTTATTCAGCTGATATGTGGTTGAGAGGTTTAAATATGTAAATATGTGCAGATGAAACAGTCCAGAAGCTTCCTTTGATCATCAGTTTACTGTCATGAGAGCCAGGATTTCACATACACTGAGTTCCACTGAAAAACTTTTTTTTCCAACAATGTTTTGTATTTTTTTTAGTTTGTATTTTGCCTTGAAAGTATAAGAAGCCACAGC